AATGCACAATTTCATTGAGAATAGAGGCTGCTTCTTTTGTAGACAGTAAACCAATTTTTTTAGGGCAAATAGTGGATGGAACGGGTACCCGAGTTGGCGATTGGGGTGGCGGCTGCTGGATGACTTCGTCTTGGGAATTTTCCTTTTGGGGACGGATCGCATGCGATAATCAAATAAAAAATGTCTTTTATCTTTTGGCTGGCCAATGTCCTTATCAACGCTACTTCTTCCTTACGTGCTCTTCGTGCCTCTTTCAGCCGAAGCAACACCGACCTGGAGACCTCTCCCTGACGGTCTTCCCTCTTCTAGGTCCGAAGCCAGAAGTTACTCTCTCTCTCTCACTTGCCCTCTGGGCTATTTTTAATCCTTTGTCTCCTAATTGGGTCATCGACCACCCACACCTGGACGAAAGTTCCAGAAAGTATAGACAAAGGAACACAGAACAAAGAAAGAAGGAAAGATAGAAAATTATATATATACATATATATAAAAATATAACAAAAATATATTGGTGTACCACCACAATAGTTTAGGGAGCATTCTCTTGGCAAGGTCTAGGGCTATTGGTTATCATTCCACAATTCATTAATGGTGAACAATACAGGGACCTGTTAAGTGATCATCTGTATTTGTATCTCCAGGCAGTGTTTCATGAGAATGTTGCCATGTTTCAACATGACAACACAACATGATGATGCACTGCGACATCAGGTGAAGCTCATCCAGGAATTAGTTGAAGGAACACGACAATAAATTCCAAACAAGACACCAGACTGACTCCCAAAAGCACCAGACTGAAATGCTATTGAACAGGTTTGAGATATGTTGGAACATATGATGTTGGAACATATGAAATGCTATTGTACAGGTTTGAGATATGTTGGAACATATGATGAGGTTATCTACTCCTCTGTGAAGTGTGCACCAACTGACAAAACTGCTTGAGCAGGCATGAATCCAGTTAAGAATAGAGGATGTTCGGCATATGTAGAGTCCATGCCTAGGATTTGCAAGCCATGATTGCCCAGAAAGTTGGACTAATCTATTATTAGGCAGGTGTTTCTAATGTTCAGTATATATATGAAATTAGATCAATTTATTTTTATGCTTTTTAAGAAAACTTCTATATATTTGATAAAAGAATATAATTTTGTTTTATCTAATTATATATTTGCAACATTTATTCATAAAACTTACCCAAATTGCAAGTATGTTATTTATTATTAATTTGTATTTTAATTTTACTTGTGCACTTGTACCTTTATATAAATTAATTATCTAAATATTAAATAAATTATATTTTTTAGATTCCTTCATCATCTTGTTACTGGATTGAATCCTGGAAAAGACTATCAGTTTAGGATCTATGCTGAAAATATTTATGGAAGAAGTGAACCCAGCGAAGCCACTCAGATAGTCACAACCAAACGTATGATCTTTTTACATTAATTAAAGATTTAAAATTGATTATAAAGACTAAACTCTTTATAATCAATTTTATATCTTTAATTAAATAATTCCTAACATAATAAACTGTTAACTTTTACAGCATCAACTAAAGAAAGGATAAAAAGGAAAAATTATACATGTAAGTATTAAAAAAATGAATATAAAATAAAGTGAACTTATGTTAAAAATATTAATTTATTTAATATTTATCAAATTTTTAGTGGATTCTCAAGGACGCCGCATTCGTGGACGATCAGAGGGAAAAGTATCAAATTATGATCAATATGGTAAATATCCAACTTTCAAAAATTTTTAAAAACTTCTAAAAATAAAAATTATTTAATATTTTACATTTTAGTGTTTGATATTAATGAAAAATACATACCGCAACCTGTTGATGTTAAGACGTCTAGTGTTTATGATTACTATGACATTTTGGAAGAAATTGGAACGTATGTTTAATGGTTTTATTTATTTAATATAGTATATTCACATTTTATATTTTTATAGCAAAAATTTAACGCATAAAAATTTGTAAAATAAAAATTTTTAGAGGTGCTTTTGGTGTTGTTCATCGATGCCGAGAGAGACGCACAGGCAATATATTTGCTGCAAAATTCATTCCAGTAACTCATCCAGTTGAAAAATCTATAATTAGGAAAGAAATTGATATAATGAATATGCTTCATCATCCAAAATTAATTCGTTTACATGATGCCTTTGAAGATGAAGATGAAATGGTTCTTATTTATGAATTGTAAGTTGTGAATGAAATTTGTAATATAATAATAAATAATTTTATGAAATGTATAATTTAAAATTTATTTTAAATTTAGTATGTCTGGTGGAGAACTTTTTGAACGTATCACAGCAGAAGATTATAAAATGTCAGAAGCTGAAGTTATCAATTACATGAGGCAATTGTGTGAAGGTGTAAAACATATGCATGAGAAGAACATCATACATTTAGATATCAAGGTTGAAATATCTTTTTTTATGATGCTATTAAAATATTTTCCCAAAAAATTAAAATAATGAAATTTAAGAATTGCTAATTAAATATTTTTCATTTTAGCCTGAAAATATCATGTGCCAGACAAAGACAGGAAACAATATCAAATTAATTGATTTTGGTTTGGCTACAAAATTGGATCCTAATGAAGTTGTACGTATATCTACGGGAACTGCTGAATTTGCTGCACCTGAAATAGTTGATCGAGAACCTGTTGGTTTCTATACAGATATGTGGGCAATTGGTGTTCTTGCATACGTGCTGTAAGTTATTTATTTAATACTTAATAATTATTTAAAATTATCGTTTTGATTTTTATGTAAATTTATACATTTTTATATTTAGTCTTAGTGGTCTCTCACCATTTGCCGGAGAAAATGATATAGAAACATTGAAAAATGTCAGAGCATGTGATTGGGACTTTGATGATGAAGCATTTGCTAATGTTTCAGACTCAGCTAAAGATTTCATACGTCGATTATTAACTCGAAATAAGGAGTAAGTTAGCAGGAAAATTTTTCTTGTTTATTTTGAGTTAAAAAGATTTAGAAATTAATTATATATTTATTTTATAGAAAGCGTTTGACAGCTCATGAATGCTTAGCTCATCCATGGCTAATGGTATGTATAGATAAGAAAGAATATATATTTGATGATTATGAATATTTGTTACTATTTATATTATTTAACATTTTACTTTATTTTTATTTTTAGGGTGATATTAGTGCTGCTCCTACTACTTCCATACCGTCAAAGAGATATATCAAAATACGAGATCGCATTCGTGCCAAATATGTGAGTATTAACTCATTGTTACAAAGAAAATATTATCATTAATTTGTAGATATTCTAAATAATTATTTGATTGTAAAACTGACTTTTCAGGGAGATTACTGGTTCAACTGTTTACTTCCTATTGGCCACATTGCCAATTACAGTTCACTTCGTAAACTTCATGAGGAAAAATATAACATTCATGAATTTTATTTTGGTAAATAATCCAATTTTAAAAAATTAAACAAACTACAAAATTTTTATATATCTTAACTGTAAAATTTTATTTTTTTTTTAAATAATTAAGTTACTAGATAAAATAATTAATTCAAATTTAGAATTTTGAACATTTAAGTTATTAATGTTTATATGTTTCTAAATAGATCGCAGACAGGCTGCACCGAGGTTTGTGATTCGTCCTCAGAGTACTTTCTCTTATGAAGGACAAAGTGCAAAATTCTATTGCCGTGTTATTGCTGCAGCCCCAGCTACAGTGACTTGGTATTATAAATCATCAAAATAATTTAACTGTGAAGTATTAAATAATTTTTCTAAATATGAAACTTTTTTTTCAAATCTTAGGTATCGTGATGGATATGAATTACGCCAAAGTGTTAAATATATGAAACGTTACCAAGAGAATGATTATTACTTTATTCTAAATCGGTGCAAAGTTGATGACCGAGGTGAATACATCATTCGTGCAGAAAACAGTTATGGATTTAGAGAAGAACCAGTATTCCTTAATGTACAAAGTAAGTTTTAATTAATATTTTAATCCAGTTAGTTAACAATAGATGTTATACATGTTTATTTTCTTGTAATTTAGGTGTTCCAAGAGAAATTCCACATATTGTTTTAGATGAACCAATCAGGTAATTGAATTTTTATTAAACAAAAATAATAACTTACAATTAAAATTCTACATATTCTTTTAGATTAATCAAATAGCTAATTGTATTTTAATAAAAATATCAAACAAATGATTTTACAGGAGGAGATATCCACCTCTAAAGAAATTATGGGAAGAACCAGTTGATTCCGCTCCTTGTTTCACATTCCATCTCCGTACTCGTGTCATTCAAGTTGGTATTGGTGTCAAACTTTTATGTTGTCTGTCTGGAAAACCTACACCAGAGGTAACCTTTAGAAAATTAATTAATTATTTATCTATTTCATAATAAATAAAAAATACATGTTTGTATTTTAGATAAAATGGTTTAAAGATGGCAGGGAGATCAATAAATATGATTACAATGTGACTCACTCAGATGGGGTTGTTATTCTTGAAATATTATCTTGTACAATGGAAGATGCAGGAACGTATGTATGTCGTGCAACCAATAAATTAGGTGAAGATGAAACTACATGTCATGTTATAATGGAAGGTAAGAATAACATTTGTAATCAAAGATTTTAAAACTATACTTAATTCTAAAGATTATTTTTCATTGTATTTTCATATTTATTCCTTAATAGTCTGTTTTCTCATTACTATAAAATATAAAAACTTAAATTAGTAATGCAAATTATTAAAGTTATATATAATTGTCTGCATGTGATAAATTAAGCTATTAACATTAAAGATAAAACAGCAATTTCTATTATAATTCAGGTTAACGACATGAAAAAATAATTTTATAGTTTGGTACAGTGGAACCCCGGTTAACGAACGTCCTGGTTAACGACCAAATTGGTTAACGGACTTTTATTTTGCAAAAATTTTGTCTCGGATAACGAACAAAATTCGGATAATGAATGTAACGGTATTTTGTGTCAAATTTTAGTTGGTGTTAGGCATGCGCGAGTTAAGCATTGCTTTTCCGAGTGTTTGTGCTATACTTCTTTTTTCAGTTTTGTGATTTATATATTTAATCACTATGGCATCCAAGAAAGAAAAAAGTCATAGTGGCAATATGAACGACAATGCTCTATCGCATTTGAGAAAAATTTTGATTAAAAGAGTAAGACAATCAACTTTAGATCAATTTCTTGTTCCTTACGGAAAGAGTTTGTTTGTTTGTTTGTTAAGTTATGGCAACGCAACACTTGGGCAATCTGCCTAGGGGGAATGCCTTCTAAGAGGTGTTTTTAAGGGAAACTGGCCCCTATTTAGGCGTTACAGACTGGAGAAAACCCAGAAAACTCCACGTGGCCAGCCCGTCTGAGCAAAATGCGAACCCACGAACGAACTCCCCGTGTTTAGGGTACGGAGAATGTTTAGCCACTGGTGGGCTTTCCTACCAAAAGAGACTTCGACTTGAAGAATCTTCCAATGAAGTGCTACCCATTATTTTTTGGAGGCGATTCCCCTTCTAAGCATTAAGGTTCGTATATCTCCACTTTTCTGCCACCAACTACAACAAATGAAGGTATGTACAGTGCTAGTTTATTAAACAAAGTTTACATGTTTGTTGCTGTAATGATAGATACTACATTTTCCTACATTTTCATCAAAGAAAATCTACTGTATATTACAAATAAAATCACAAAAATTTTGGAGACTAGAACAGATTAATTGCATTAGCATTAATTTCTGTGGGAAAAATTGCTTCAGTTAACGAACAGAGTCGCGGAATGGATTAAGTTTGTTAACCGGGGTTCCACTGTATTTTTGAAACCGTGCCAGTAATTTTTAGTAATTCGAACACAAATCAATTATTGTATTTATTCAGACACTTGGCAAATCTCATCATTAAATTTTATTCAATTTTATAGTTATTTTTAAATTTATTAATTCTCTATCAACTATTTATTCATCTAATTATTGAGTGATAAACTTTATTGTGTTCAATATTAAGTCAGAATAAAGTGGCAAATAAAGAAGATTCTTTGCAGGGCATGAGTTTGTTCGCTTGTTGCATAGTAGTGAGCAACTGTGAATCTGCAGGTTTCAGGAAAGTGATCAATTTAACAATTAAAATGCTTAATGCCTATTTATGTATTGTGCAAACTGTATTTTCTAAAATTTATTTATTTCTACAAGATATCAAAAACATTAAGGAAAATATTACCAATTTTAGTTGTAATGCAGGTTTTGGGAGAGCAACTCTGACCTATATTATAAAACAAATACTTAATAAAACATCTAACACCTTATAATGCTGAGAATATTTATTAAATCACAAACGTTTTCAACCTAATGGAATAGGCCATCATCGGTGACTGGCTACCGAACGAATTTGAAAATTGTGTTAAAATGGAACTTTCAAACATTATAAATTCAAACTTAAAATGAAAAATAAATTAGCCAACCAATGTAAAAAATAACTATACAGTGGTACCTCAGGATACAAAATTAATCCGTTCCGAAACTGAGAGATATCATGAAAATGTCATAAGGTGAATCATTTTTCCTCATACGATTACATGCAAAACCAAATAATTCATCCAACACGAAAAACACACTCAAATTAAAGCTAAGTAGTACATTAAAAAAATAACTATAGTAAGGAAAACACTGAAAAATGCGTTTTGTAGTTGTAAATGCATAAATAACCNATAAGAGCTTTAAAAAAAATTTTCTATTATTTATTATTATTATTTATTTTTAAAATGGTTGCATCATTGACTTCCACTCTGATTGATTTCTGTATTCTTCTTATTATAATCCTGAATTGCCTAAAGAGATAAACATCTAGAGCACTGTGCCACCAACTCTGTTTTTATATGAATTGCATTAGAACATTTTAGAACCCTATTTCTCGCAAACAGCTGGCCTGACAGATAAAAGAAAAAATGTGGGTCTTCTTATTTTTTTCTTCTATTGAACAATATATATTTTTATTAAAATGTAAGACTGACACAAAAAATTCCTATCTTGTAAGTATCAACAAATACATTTATGATATAGCGTACATGTTACAGTACAAGTTAGTATTTATAACTATTTGATAATAATCACATTACTTGTTTGATGTTCAGGTAGTGATGTTTAAAGAATTTATATCCTAACATGATAATTTGTTACTTATAGATAGGCATTTTATTGTATTTATGAATGGAAAATAACTTAACAAAACTAGTTTTTGTTGTAAAGCAAAAAATCTTGTATACTTGGAAGTGAAATTAAGGAGTGGATATTATCTGAGATTTTGATGTGCATCCTATATTATTACTCTGTTGTTACTTATATACATAAATATACAATTAAAATATTCACTTATGGAATGTATATGTAAATTAGTAATAGTATTTAAAATAATATTTTTACTATTCATTCCTGAAATTCTTTTAATTCTCATAAACAATTTCTCAAAAAATGAGAGTAAAAAGTTAAGCTGCATTTTTGAATATTCTCAATCACAATCTTTAATTCATAGTATCAGTAGTATTTATACAAAACATTATTAGGAAAAATTTGTTTATATAATAAATTCAATACATATACACTGACTGATCACTACATTAAGAACAATATACCAGCACCATCTCGGAAATGATTAAGCGATGTCCTGTAATTGCCATGTAATTCACTGCAATCATGATGTGTTGACTTGTCATATGCATAGTAGAAGGCAATGCTTGGCAGTCATGGACAAACAAAGCAATTTGAACAACTTTGAGTGCAGACAGATCATCAGGGCTCAGAATTGCAGGTACCAGTATTTCTGAAACAGCTGCATTTGTTGATTGTTTTCCTATCATGGTGTCCAGGATGTACCACGAGTGGCTAGATAACACGAAAAGCATCCACCAGAAGATCACACAGCAGTCCATGTGTGTTTGATCCCGGGGGTAAGCACTGTGTGCCAAGACTGGTATCTGAAGAAAGACATGAGACAACAGAATAGCTTACCTTCCAGTACAATAGTGGGTTTCAACAATGACCATGCAAATAAGTTGCATCAACTGGGGTTCAATAGCCATCAACCACCTTGAGTACCTCTGTTAACCACTGTCATTGCAAACAATGCCTCACACAGGCAAAGGAAAGGCATTATTGCACCATGGACATGTAAAAGAAAATCATCTGGAATGACAAATCTTGTTTCGTGCTGAACCATACTAATTGTCTGGTTCATATCTGGTATGAACAACCTGAAGCCACATTCCCTAGTTGCACAGTTGGTGTACACAAGCTGGTGGTGGTGGCATCATAGTGTTGTGATAAGCACGTGGTGAGGATTGATTTCACAAAGAAACGGGTATATAAAACAAATAAGACGTGCTTTATTATATTCTGTGAACATATACAGGAAAGGTTCTTGTCGATTCCGACCTCCTGAGTCCTTACATCAAACAAAAGAACAAACAACACCTTTTTTTGATTCACAGTCGAGCAAGACTTTCGCGATGCAAAGAGATACTTAACTTCTAACTTAAACCTACTTATATCTAAAAAGAAAAGGAAAAAGGAAAAGAAAGTTAGATTAGAAGAGAGAAACGGAAATATTTTAGGATGGAACGGGTACCCGAGTTGGTGATTGGGGTGGCGGCTGCTGGATGACTTCGTCTTGAGAATTTTCCTTTTGGAGGCGGATCGCATGCGATAATCAAATAAAAGTGTCTTTTATCTTATAGCTGGCCAATGTCCTTATCAACGCTACTTCTTCCTTACGTGCTCTTCGTGCCTCTTTCAGCCGAAGCAACACCGACCTGGAGACCTCTCTCTGACGGTCTTCCCTCTTCTAGGTCCGAAGCCAGAAGT